AACTCATTTGTCAATATATCAACCACGCACGTTTCGGATACTTTGCAGCAGTTGTGGTCACGAGGGTCCAGCATAAGTTAGGGTATATATTTCGCTATAAACTTTAAAAGTATCGTCTGTAGTTCATTTCAATTAAATACCTTTAACGGTATAAAACGACTAATATATAAGTTAACTTATTTACAATTTACTTTAACTATGCTTTGCAGAAACCAAGGTCAAAAATAAGTTGAGCGAAATATTATGTATGTTACGTTTAAAACCGTTAAATTAATAAATATAGCATTTGATAGCTGGATTCGCTCTCTGACCGCTCATTATCACCCTCGTCGGGCTCAAAGGCTTTGCATAGAAAATGAGAGTGGGGCTAAAACCTACTTTAAAATGTGCTAATTCCGAGCCCGGCGGGTTTAACACTTAAAATCGTTAAAAGTGAACGCCTTGTAAAGTTCCGAAATAATTCGTTCAAAACCGGACTTCTCGGAAGGTTTAGCATTATATGATCCATCGATCTTATATCTCATCGATATGATCCCATTGAATAAATTCTAGAAATCTAGATGATGTGTTAGTTGAAGTAAATAATTTAGTAGAAGGAAGTTGTTATTTCGACGATGAGGTGTAGGACGCGGTAGCTCAATTGGTTAGAGCAACAGCACGCAACGCTTGCGATGTCAGTTCAAGACCTGCCCGAGTCAAGAATGTTTTCAATTTGTTTTCGATTTTTAATTTATATAGTTCCATCATTTGCATGTAAAAAATATTAAAGATTTCAAGTATTTACTTTCCTAATGCTGTTTACTCTAGAATAAGTACTTAACGAATCATTTTTACATTATCATTAATTTTTTCAGAGTTTTGCCACTGTGTCATGAGCGAGTGGGACTCGCATCATTAAATATATAAGTATATACTTAATACCCATAGTACCAATTTAATATGCATACTTTTGAATACTGTCCGTAGTTAACACGAGTAGTACACATTTAAATAAAACATTTTAACCGTTTAAAACGCGATATATATTAGTTAAACTTATTTTAAAGTTATTATATTATTTATAATTCTATAAGAAACACCCTCCATCTTTAGTCTCCCCGGGACCACGGCTGCTGCAAAGCATCCGAAACGTCGGGCCGAAGTTAAAGTAATTTTCAAATAAGAATAACTTATACGTGTCGTGTTCTAAACCGTTAGTGTTTTATTTAAACGCATACTTTTGTGCATTTTAATTTTGTTAATTTATTGTGTGTCGGATGCAGTCTGTGGATTTCTGTATATCCAAAGTCAAAATAGGTCGATAGAGTATGTTGTTGTATGGTACGTAGGTGGGGTATTTTATTATCAATAACCCATGAAAAAGTAAAACAACTGATTAAAGAAATATACACTTGCAATACACCAATCTTCTGTGTTTCTTCACATCAACCAATAAATACTCTAGTGTCGTATAAGTATCGTAAAGAATTGTATAAAATGTATACGTAAGAAACCCGAGTAAGCTGGACTGCAGAACATAAAGATACAAAGAAGCACGCAGATTTACCCCTCCATTCGTTTTACCTTCGAGGGTTTCCACTTAAAGCTGAGGGAACGAAAATTACTTTGGCGTTTATCTTTTATGGCCCGTGCAGTGCGAGGGAGGATCCGATCATGAACAAGCTTTATAACTAAACTATAAAAATTCAAAGTTATGTAATATAGAAGTCGCTTAAAGATATTGTAAGTATTGTATTAGAAGAGGCATTGTAAGATCGAGTCTAACTAGGTAGCTCATTTGGTCAATCAAGAGCACAGAAGGCTGTGGATGCCGATTCAAGTCCTGCCCGAGTCGTAATTTTTTCAGCTTATAATCGATTTTTAATTTACCTTTATCAATAATCATAAAAACACGGACCTTATATCTTTTTTAGAAAATAATTTCAATTAAATTCTTAATATTAGTAGTACAACAATAATATTTCAAAAACTTATAATAACATAATAATATTACGGTATAATATTAAATTACATTTTTAAAATATTATTTCATAAAAAGTTTACTACTACATTAATTTATATTGCCTTCCTTATTTAAAACGAAAAAACACCCCGATTACCCTTTTTTATTTTCGAAATTAAAACAAAAATGAAATCTTGTTTCCCCCTTGTTGTTTGTGTGGGGAAAAGTGAAACGAACACATTTTTATGTTCGTTTCTGTGATCGGCTCTTTAACAAGCAACTAGTTGATCAGACTTCTGTGCCCTGCCCGACCGAAACAATTTTATTATTTTTATTTTGGCTAGAGAGGCGGTTCGAAAACAAAAGACTTACATTTTAATCTTTTGAGATATTTTGTGAATTTGTAATAAGTATGTAAGTAGTTCCAGTATGCATTTATTAAACCATTACTATATCGAGATATTGCGTTTGTATTTTAGTATAGTTTTATTACCTTAATGAATACTAAGCTATAGCAATAGTTTGTCTGTACATTTAATAAAAATAATCAAATGCTGTGTGATACAAGAGTGTTAAATATAATATATTTTTTAATAATTTTTATCTGAATACTGTATGTAGTTTACACGAGTAGAACACATTTAAACAACATTTTAACGGTTTAAAACTCGAAGTGCATTGGTTAAACTTTTAAATATGGGTTTGTATCAATAGAAAAAGCTAGCTTGGGATATTATATAAGCTTAAAAGTGAAATTGCTTTAATCCCGGTGGGGCATGGGACCACCACAATGTGTCTGTAAAATACAGTTATTGTAACCATCACAAGTAAAATACTGAGACTTGTCTTTGAGAAAAGTTATTTTTCTTATACAGACACACTTGCGGGCGAAAGCTAAACAGTACGTTTCACCTTCAAACTATCAATACAAAATGGAATTACGTTAATACAAAGAGCACGTGCTGTCACATATTATCGGTTTTCATTAACGAAAGTACTCGTAGTATTGGATTATTTAAGTGAACTCATAGCATTGTGATGAATTACAAAAATTCGCTGTTAGTTCGTCTAGTATCTTTAATTTCACTCAATTATTTAAAATGCTTATAATAATCGTAAAAACCCTTCTATTTCTGCAATTCTTCTGTGGTTACTACGTTGAATTGGCTAATCGACGTTGTGTGAAGTTCGTGCAAATGAGCTATAGTATTTTCGCATCGTGCTTCTTGATTTATGGTGTCTTTACTCGCCCCGTCATCAGTACATATTACATCTTGTCAAACTATTTCAATGTTATTGATTTTACTATTTTCAGTATTACCAGTTTCATTAGTAAGACTAAGTTTGTAACAGACTACTTCACATCTATGACTATTGACACAAACGCGCCTTTAACGCGACAGAATATCCCGTTTGTTGGAATCTCGTCTTTTTGCTTGCTTTTCGCGGAACACGTTTTTTATTGTTGGCGTTATTACGGATCAAATGCAAACAATTCGTTTCACGCTCAACTAAGTATTGTTGCGTGGTTTATTTTAAAATTCGGCTATTTATTCAGTAGTTACGCACGGTACATAGTTCTTGAGACGTCTTGGCGATCCCTGAAAGGTCTACGTGTGTCGTTTGATGAATCGATGCAAAAGAAAAATGATGAAAAAGCAAATTACATAACAAACACAATTATAGTTTATCAAAGTTTGCAACAGAAACTGAATGCAACTGGACCGTTTTACAAAATATTTGTAAGATATACTTTAAATTACTAGGCTTATAGATAATACTAAAGAAATGTATGTTTTAAACCCATCGCTTTACAGATTTTTCGCGACTTTTTCACTACATTCTATTACCTTATAATGACGGCTGTTGGGATATCTTATAACAAAAAGAAAGCTGTAAGTATTATAATCCAATACAGGCGTACACTCTAATACTTTCCAGGCGATCATTTTTAGAAGAAGACTTTCCGATATGACAAACTTGTGCTAATCTCGCTTGGGAACTATTCTTAGGTATTTACTTTAAATCTGAGAAATTAAGAATAAACTAATAATAATACAAAAGAAAATATTCAAGTTCAAAAAGATAATTCCGAAAAGAACTTTGACAAATATTATGCAAAGTGTGATTCCTAATACTAAAACTAAGTAGCTTTAAAAATAACTTTTTAAGTGAAGCATAAAACTGTTTAAAAAAAAACGAAATATTCAATGTCGGTCGCGTCCACTGCGTAAGGAGCCCACTGCCCCTTTCTTCGAGTTAGTTACTCGATGAGCGGCGTGGCGGCCGCCGTATGTATTTTTATTTTAACTTCATGATATCTTTTGAATAGAATGTCCGATTTCAATAATTTAAAAAGTAATCATCAGGTATTGAGACAGTCTTGAATATTAAATTATTTATTTGGATAAAATTTTATAAATGGTATGGATAACACGGTCTGATTTTGATCGGCATTTCTATTAATTTGTTAAATGTAAAAAAATTAGTTATAGCGACGTAACTACAACAGTTAGACATATGCTCTCATGATGTTTTTGTAGATATTGATATATTCTATAATATTGTCAAACATTTTTTTGCCCTGTAATTAATATAATAGGCATTTTACGGCTATTTTTTTTACGCCTTCCGTTGGTTTTAGTAATAATTTCTATAGATGCCTATAGTCGATGTCGATTCAGCCGTTCAGCATCCACTGCTGGACATAGGCCTCCCCATAGACTTCCAGTACGACCGGTCGTTCGCCAGTTGAATCCAGCGTTTCCCTATGCCTATAGTAATCAAGTATTAAATATAGCCTATGTTACTCAGTGATAATGTAGCTTTCTAATGAAAAAATCATTATTTAAATCGATCCAGTACTTTTTGAGTTTATCCATTACATACAAAAATACAAATCTTTCCTCTTTATAATATTAGTATAGATGAATAGTTATAAAAAAAGTAACGTATTTCTTTATTGTAGTTTATTTTATTTTAGATACGAATCCACATGATTTTAGATGCAATCTCGAATATTGTACGAACTTTCATACCTTGTGCACTCACCCAAGGGATGATAAACGAAACAGAAAGAATAAAACTAATACTTGCAAAGGAATTATTAAAATGTCCAGCTGATGACCTTAAAGGTAAGTATTGGGTGTATATCAAGTGACACTAATTATGTAAAGAAAATGACTTTTAATTTCGCCTTCAATTTCAGATACTGCTATCAGAGATAAAATCGAAGATGCTGCAAGAACAATTGAATTGTGTCCCTTTGAACTTACAATATTTGGTCTATTTGGTCTTAATATGTCGCTGCCTCTTTATTTTATTAATCTTTGCACCGCGTATGTTATAGTATCTTTCCAATTCACAGAAATGTTATAAATTCTAAAACCAATATGTAATTGGACAAAGCAATTTATTGACATTAAAGCCAATTGGAAAGCTCGCTACAGTATTAGTCAATACTTAGACCAAGTCGGTGTATTGTTTGCTTCTATACATTAAAATGCGTGTAAAATATATTAACGTTTTATTGTTCTTTTACTTCGTCTGTGGATATTATGTTGTGTTTGACGTTAAGCGGAAAATTTTAAAATACATACAAACAGTGTATATATTTGGTTTATTTTGTTTTGTTATTTATGGTTTTTGTTCTAGGCCTGTCCTCAGTGCAACCTACACTTTCACCACATATTATGTTACCCTTGAATGTGCCCTTTGTTTTGCTATAACTTATTTTAATAAAACTTCATACTTATTTGACTTCTTAAAATCAGCAACTAAGATCAGAGCTGAATTAAAAGTGACACGCAGAATACACTTTCTGATTTCTTTTATTGTCTTTTGGTCTATTACTTTCGAAAGAATTTATTATGGTTATTACTATTCCGATATATACGTCCATAATATTAATACATATATCAGTACCATCACTTGGTTTATACTTCAGTTTGGTAACATAATTAATCTCACCATACGGTGTATTATTACTGAAATAACATGGAAGCTGATGAAGGTACTCCGTGTGTCATTTGAGGACAAGATTCTAAAGCAAAACGAACAAAAACCAAACGATATTGAAGAAACTATTAACATTTATAACAAGATATTCAATACCTTCAATATTGCTGGATCTTACTTCAAATACTATGTTAGTATAGTGTTGTGTCTTTATTGTAGTTGTAGTAACGCTTTTTCTTTCTCTTGAGTTTTATTTATTATGCATACCTGGTTTAAACCAATCATTTTTGAGCAGGTGTATGTTGTGTGTTAATGCTTGCTTTCTGAAATATGCCAGTTTGATAGCATTTGTGTATGATACACATTTAAGATACTGTCTATAGTTTACGCGAGTAGTACACATTTAAATAAAACACTTTAACGGTTTAAAACGCGATATATTAGTTAAACGTCTAAAAAGGAGTCTCCCGTGACCACGGCTGCTGCAAAGCATCCGAAACGTCGGGCCGAAGTTAAAAATCATTTCCAAATAAGTTTAACTAATATATCGCGTTTTAAACCGTTAAAGTGTTTTATTTAAACATTTAAGATATTTTTAAGCTTTGATGCTAAGCAACTGGGTAGTAAAATTTATTAAAGGGGTGTGTTTATCGTATTAGTTATTTGTTAACGGTCATACTTTTATGCACCTTTGTGTATATCTTTAACTAAATAACTTATAGTCGGTGCCAATCCAGTGTTATTTAATTTAAAGTATTCATTACGCTATATACATACTTTTCAGTATATATTATACTGAAAAGTGTTCTTTCACTCAAACATCAAATCCTACATACAAAGTTGAAAGTTTGAACGCAGTAATTCATTAAACCTCAAACATAACATTAGAGTAAATTAATGAAGCTTACTGCAGTACGTATTTTAGTGCTAGAAATAATCGATCTTCGCATTATTTGAATTTTAAATTTAACTGTTATAAAAATTGTACTATCGACAAGTGAAAAGATGAAAAGATATGTATCGATTTTTGGTGCTTCTTACAGTAGTATACTTCTTACATTAGACAAAGATACTACTCTTTAAAATTATACTTTTGTATTTGAAAATGAGTTTTCGTAGTAAAACAAAACCTTTTTATTCATTTATCTTTATCACTATGTCGCTATGTCGCTGCGCCAAGAACACTTATACCCAATAGAAATAAAATAACTTTTTGCATGGAGGAATATTATTTTGATAATAATGTGAAAGTTACTGAGGACACTTGATACATCTACCACCAGCCACCTTCTCGAGGCTTCACCAAATACAAAGCTTACCATATATATATTGGAATGGATTCTGCTACTGATTCTGAACAAACTACTTTCAGGTTTCGCATGAAGTAGGAATAACCCTGTATATATATAACAGCATATTTTAATATTTAATGTTACAGCGCCATATTTAAAGTACCTACTATGTTAATCACATTTTTATTATTAAAAATTGCTTGTGTTTATTGTTATAATGGTCTTGGAATACTTTTGTTAGACAGCACACAATCATTTTAATGAAACAATTTCAACTGATAAATTATGTTATTACTTATCTAATACTACTCTTCTACTATTTAACATGTCATCGTTTCTAGTAATTTTTTTTCAGTTCACATTGTTTTTGAAAACGTTTTTTTGTGATCGTGATGATGTTCTCAAAATAAAAAGTTCTTATTTGGTGGTTTGTAACATGTTTCTATTATCATTATAATGTTTGTTTAAGGTATTAAGGGACTTTTTAAGTGCCTTCGTATCTGTCATTTCTGCTACTGTAGGAGTTTCCAATGACAAGGCGGAACAAGTAAGTGACTTGTATAACTATCTATAGTCCATTTATTCTTACACGACATTTTTGGTAAACAAACACACGATGTTCATGAAATCGTGATTATCTCACAAGTTTACATTGATTCACACTAAAAACACTTTGAGACACTGAATTATGTATTAAATTAAAGAATTACCTCGAATTCACTTCTCGCGATCGCGCATTTAATCGTATCTTTTATTAAAAACAAAATTAAAAGTAACAAAGTGTTATTTTATTGAGACATAATACAACAAGGCTTTTTTCTTCGGCCATTTGATTAATAGTTTTTTTATTGAAAGCGCTTCGCGTAAATTTTGACAGAAGTTGGGCCTTAATTTCACTTTTATCAAATGCAGTAAATACCCGTGACGTACGTCATTTAAAAAAGCTACGATACTAATGATGGGAAATTTTGCAGTTATATTTACCAATATGTATATATGATAATATTAGATAAGTTTTGTAAAAATCTATTCTGTAACCTTTATACGTATCAAACATTAATCATATTATAAACACAGGAGTTTTGCTAACTTTTAGTTTTAGTTGTGTTTATAATATTAATTGGTTTAGGGTTAATTGGGGAAAAATTAAAAACTATATCGCTATAATAGTAATTTTTAATATTGCGATCATTCTTCTATTTATATAATCGATGATTCTTCTTCCCTGTGGCATCAACTACACTCTATATTTGAAATCGGCCATATTTGCTGTGGTCTTGTTCCAACTAAGATAAAACCGATTATTCAAAACATTTTAGTAACTTAAACTTATTTAAGTTGAATGATTAGAAAAATCTTATTAACCAGACAGATTCTCATCGCAGTGATTTATGATCCAATATTTATAATTTTAAAAAATTACTCTTTCAGATGCATCACTTCGTGACAATTAACGCTGCTACAAACATAATTATAGCGTGTATCCCGTGCACATTGATGCAGGCGTTGATAAACGAGGCTGAGAAAATAAAAGTGATACTCGCAAAGGAATTGCTGAAATGTCAATCGAACGGTTAGTTATATAATGATAAATTAGAAAGAACGTAAGCTATTACGCGGCTTCGTTCAAATATATATAGAAAAATCTTCTGAGGAAAGGAAGGTTGTCTGACACCTTGAAATATTAAATAATTTGAAGTATAATGAACAAAATCTTTAAGGAAACTTTAAAACGCGATATATTAGTTAAACTTATTTGAAAATGATTTTTATCTTGGGCCTGACGTTTCGGATGCTTTGCAGCAGCCGTGACCACGGCGTAAATGTGTACTATTCGCGTAAACTATAGACAGTATTTAATATTTTTTTTTATTTCCTGTGTCCTCCATCGCAAATGGCAATTTAACAATTTTACTTGTTGGGCTCGTCGGTAGCAATGTATGTCTAATGAATAACGGGTCATGGATTTCATCCTCAACTGGTCCGACATTTTTCTAAAACATATTGGACCTCGTCTGAAGGTCTGGATATAAAATGGATGGCAGGAAAATCCGTTTTAGTTACGAACCACCACAGATAAAATAGCCGTGAAGTTTAATTGCGTTCCGGTTTCAGAATGTAGATTTTCAAATATCTAAAGCCAAAAAAGGTTGACATCTCATCTTGTTTAAATGTTATATGCCTACGATAATTCACCTAGCATCAAATGATGCTTGTCTGTCCTCCTCTATCTTAAAAAATAAAAACAAACAAACATTTTCAGATGAATCCATTGCCGAGCAAAGAATCAGAGATGCGTTGATATATATTGAAAGACACCCAGCAAAACTCACAGTTCTTCACCTCTTCAGCCTTGACATGTCTCTGCCTCTGGTTTTTATTAACCTGTGCACCACGTATGTGATAGTCACGCTACAATACACAAAAATATTGTAAAACAATGAGTAAATCACAACATAATTATAAAGATATTTTTGTCACCATGCGTTAGCTACACAACGTGTTCAAAGATAGTAATTATTTAAATAAAACACTTTACTGGGGTCTCCCCGTGACCACGACTTACTACTACGTTTAACTAAAATACATCGCGTTTGAAACCGTTAAAGTGTTTTATTTAAGTGTTTAAAGATTTTATCTTAGATTAAAGATTAAAATGTGTGATTCATATTAATACGCGTTTTGATATTTGTTATTAAGTCGCATTGCCTATAATTGCACAATAATTAATTAAATACAATAAAATTAAGTATTGTGTGTAGTTTGCGAGTGTTTTACATTTAAATAAAACACTTTTAACTGACTTTTTTCTCCTTATGACAATGGCAGCTGTTAAGCGTCCGTAACATTGGGTCGGAGTTAAAGAAAATAATTAACGAACTAATATTTTTCGCGTTTTATACAGTTAAAAGTGTTTTATTATAATACAATAAAATTTACTGTACTGCACCGCACTGTTACATTAAACCAATTTAGAGAGTAATGTGGTGTTTTATTTAAATTTTCCAAAAGATCGTTAATCGTCGATAAGTCGATAAGTTAACTTAACTAAATTAGTTACTTACTTACCTCCTAGCCTAAACAAAAAATAGCCAAAGTAAGTTGCTCAATTATAGCGCGTTACACGTGTCAAATAAGTCAAGGAAATATGATACTATATCGGACACAGAAATCTACTTGCCTGTAGATAAAGTTATTTATTGTGACGGTTTTAAAAATGCATCTGCATGTTTATTAGTCGTATGTAGAGGTATAAATCAACAATCAAAAATATATTTAGATTGAAAAAAAATTACGCCAAGGGCCGCATTGACATTGAACCCGCATCCCCTGCCGTACTTTAGAACTGTGTAGGACAAGGTAGCTCAACTGGTAAGGGCACCACGGAACGCAGTCGATACTGTTTCAAGTTTCGCCGGATTTTTTCCTGAAATGATATTAAACTTATGTATTATAACAAATATATGTAGAGATGTATGATGTATGTATTTTATTCTTTTAAAATTACTGCTTCAAATACTGTCTGTAGTTTACGCGAGTAGTACACATTTAAATAAAGTCTTCCCGTGACCACGGCTGCTGCAAAGCATCCCAAACATGGGGCCGTGATTAAAATAATTTTCATAAGTTTAACTAATATATATTGCGTTTTAAACCGTTAAAGTGTTTTATTTAAATGTGTACTACTGGCGTAAACTACAGACAGCTATAAACAATAAATAATTTATTTCATCGTTAGTTGCATTAAGTGCGATAGAGTTTCAGTTCGAATACCGGGGCAATAAAATAGTTTCTGTCGGACACTAACATTTCATCAACTTATACGCATGCATTACAGAAATGTGTATGTGTATGTAATATACATCGCGCTTTAAACCGTTACAGTGTTTTATTTAAACCTACCGGTTTGTTATAAATGGTGACCCATAATTAGAGGTCAAAGCGACAGATCATTCAAGTTGAAGTCACGTACCTAAAAGGGTCACATAGATTGCAGTCCCTTACAACGTATAGGCACTTTCCGTACGTGCCCCATGGCTGGGGGATGGCCGTCATAAATTTTACGGAAGTGACATCTACGAATTTATTTTACTCCATGTTGTTTAATGTTTGACCATCTCCGTAGCGCAATAGTCAAACTCCAATAAACATGAAAGATTTTGGGTTCAAATCTCGGAAATAAACCATTGTTCTCGCTGACAAATAAACCTGATCAAGTGCTTTCCTATATAATTTAAAAATCGAAAATAATTTGAAAAAATTTACCTACCTACCTACCTACGGGAGGACGCGACAGCTCAATTGGTAGAGTCCTGCCCGAGTCGAAAATGTTTTCAATTTATTTTCGATTTTTAAATTATATAATGCCTTCATGTGCAATAACATGTAAAAAATAATAAAGTTTTCAAGTGCTTTCCTACGAAATTAATACGAAAACGGGCACAGAAATATGTCTATACCTATGGGAACGAGACTTAAGTTAATTAATAAACGTACTTATGTTTTCAAAAGTGTCGGTAATTTTGCCTTTTATTTGCTTGTATTTTTTTATGATAGAGAAGGAAAGACGAGGATGTTACCTTGATGAAATGTAAAATAGTCCAGGCATATAACATTTTAATAACGTCTATTTATATTGTCTGTTAGTCTATATATTATAAAACACGATTAAACTTCACGGCTTTTTCATCTGTGGATGTAGTCATATGATATTCCTACCACTCATTTAATATACAGATTTCCAGACGAAGTCCAACATGCTTCAGAAAATTCAAATTCAGAAATAAAAAATATGTTGGAACCCAGTGGGGAACTCAGTGGATCATTAGGCTATTGCTACCGTTAGACGAGCCCGCCATATTTATGATCTTCAACATCTGTGGACGATGTTTCATCAACCGAACGGTATTTAGATGTTCTTACTACCCACTTAACACCCAGATTTTCGATGTTTCAGAATATGATAAATTGATGAGAGACATGTTGGACCAGTTGATCATGAGGCAGACGTTGCTACTATAAGAAAAAGCCCTAACAGATTAATAGTAAATTAATATTAAATGTTGATTAAAAAATCGTAAGCAAAAAGACGTTAGCACTTCCGAGAAGACTGCTATTAGGTATGTGGCTTGAAGCACATGGAGGCGACAACTCAGTTCTCGATACTTTAGTTGTTCGCTAACAAAGCTCCGGATATTACAAGACTTCAACTAAAAGTGATACCGAACACAATAGTCTCGATCAGGATTTTATATAAACATTTAATATTACTTGTATAAAATACTGTCTATAATTTACGCTAATAGTACACATTTAAATAAAACACTTTAACGGTTTAAAACGTAATATAATAGTTAAACTTATTTGAAAATGATTTTTAACTTCGGCCCGACGTTTCGGATGCTTTGCAGCAGCCGTGGTCACGGGGAGACTGCCGAAACGGGGAAACGTCGGGCCGAAGTTAAATATCATTTTCAAATAAGTTTAACTAATATATCGCGTTTTAAACCGTTAAAGTGTTTTATTTAAGTTACTTGTATAATTTTTTAACCTTTTGTCGTTAGTTATAGTTACAATGATTAATAATAATCACGGGACATGGGTTCGATTTTCACCGGGTCCAAACTGTAAATGTAACGTTTAAATAAAACACTTTAACGGTTTGAAACGCGAAATATATATGTCAAGTTATTTAAAATTTGTTTTAACTACGGTACCCTCATGACCACGGCTGCAGCAAAGAACCATAATCTAAAGGTCCCTAGTAAAAATAAGTTGTAAATCGATTATCTATGCTACGAGTAATATATTATAAAGCTGAAGAGTTTGTTTGTTTGTTTGAACACGCTAATCTCAGGAACTACGGGTTCGTATTGAAAAATTCTTTGGATAGAGCATTTATCGAGGAAGGTTAAAGGCCATAAAACATTGCCCTTTGACTAATACAAGTGAAGATACCGAGAGAAATGTAAAAAAAAACGGGGAAAATTATTTATCTTTGTAGCTTTCCAATGCGTACGCTGCAAAAATGGTTCAAGATGTTTATAAAAAAATATTCTTCTTTAAAGTATCAAAAAAAATGTCCCCGACAGTATATTATGTCTATCTCTTAAGATGAACTCGCAAGACTGACGGGCACCGATGACGTAGCTAACTGGTTGCAAAGACAATTTTTGATGCCCAAAATAACCATTCTTCGCGGACGAAGTCGCTGACTCTGCTAGTATGTGTCGCATTTCAAACCCTTAAAAGTGTATTAATTACATGTATATAACTCACGTAAGCTACAGACAACATCATTTCCTTTTTAACTCTTCTTTTGCAGTAAATTAATGAAACCAGCCACATATCAAACAGAAACGCTATTGTAGAATTTCGAACCAAGTACCTTTCAAGAGAATCGAGAAGCACGGAATATAGCTTGTGAAATAAAAATCATTGATTGCCATTAATTTGATTTTCCAATCTAGGCTCGTATAGAACACACGGTTAGCTAGAATGGCGAACGTTACTCACAGCTTTTCAATAAATAAGTCTGCTGGTTTATACAACTATTCATAATAATTGATAATCTATACTGATGTTTTAAAGCTGAAGAGTTTGTTTGAACGCGCTAATCTTAGGAGCTACTGGTTAGAATCTTTTTTGTGTTTAGCATTTATCGATGAAGGATTTTGGCTATAAAATTTGCGACCATTAGCGTAAAAACAGTGGGATATTAAGAAAAAGCAGTAATCATTTTTGAGGGTTTCTTTTGCGGTATCTGTTTTCGCTGCGGAAAACGGTACAAGATACAATAAAAAATATGTATAAAATAATTATTCCTATAGTATATGTCTATCTCATTTTCTGATCTTTTTGTAATAGGCAAATAAGTTTATCACATATTTATGTCAATAAAGTTAAACGCTACATTGTAATATTTATGTGCATATTTTTAACGATTTTAAAGGCACAGTCATTAGTTATTATTTTTATAATTAAGTATCATATGTACTGTCAGGTTTTTTTATGTGTAACATGATTAAATTGTAAATGATTTGGTTATCTAAAGATATAATTATTTTTTGAACTAGTGTTATAATATTTTACAAGATTTGCATGAATTTAGCATAACCATACGTTAGATGACTTATAATCATTGTCATTTAATTGTTAAGCATGTGGTCCGCGCCAGCTGTGTGTCAGCACATATTTTCTATCCTTTGAAGTTGAAAACTTTCCAAGCTCAACCAATTCACCCTCTAAAGGCATGCCGAGCAAAACAATCCAGCAGCCACTTTCAACTTTTATTCTTCTCTGTTTGCCTTTTTCAAATTGGCCCGTTTAATTTTCTTGGCGATATGCTCCGGTAAACAAGCCAAGCACCAAATAGATTCCATAAACATGTTTCTAGCCTCCTCGTTTTTGAATCGCAAGCCTGTTTCTGAGGACTA